GGAGCGTACTTTATAAAGATGGATTGTACTCTTCGAATGCTACAACAATTATTCCCTTTTCCGTTGAATAATGAAAGGAGCCTCGAAAAGAATGAAAACGTTTCTCATACTAACTTTGAATGAACTATTGACTTTGACTATGTTTTTGAAATGAACAATATTTTCTAATGATGTAACACCGGAAGTGCTCGTTTGCTCAACATTCCATAGAACAAGTGTATTTCTCGAAATGTTGTTTTTCACACACAAAAAAACACCTGCTAAGCAGTTGGCCTACAATAAATCTGATTTTTCACCAAAAGAAAACAAATGAATCTTCCGAACTATGCCCGAATACGGCAAAATTGATGTGCTTACCAGGCATGCAGAACATGACGGTTGTGAGATGGCATACGGTTGTGGCGGAGGTTGTGCATAAACATTACGTTGAGATGTGGGACGACCGTAGTATCGAGGCGGTGCTTGGGGAGGAGCGTAACGTGGATAGTTTTGTGGTGGAGGTGGCTGGTACTGTGGAGGGGGTGCGTACGATTGGGGCTGATATGCGGGGCGTGGATATGGCTGTGGCTGATAAGACTGAGAACGATAAGGTTGCTGTTGATAAGGCCGAGAATAATACGGCTCTGGCTGATAGGGCTTCGGCTGATAGGGCTCCGGCTGATAGGGCTCTGGTTGATAGGGCTCTGGGTGATACGGTACTGGATGATAGGGTCGATAAGATCCGTACGATTCAGAGGGTTGTACATAGGGGAAATGAATGCAGATAGTACATCCTGGATGTGTTCCGTTTGTTGGAGGTGAATGGGTTGTGTTCGAGGGAGTAGATGTTGTTTGACTGTGTTGTGTGGATGGCTGCACAGTGGCTGGGGATGTATCTGGTTGTTGTGTGATCATTGATGTAGATGGTGGCTCGGATTCTGAAACTGTTGATTGAGTCTGTGGTTCCGTTTCCACACTGTCGGTTGTTGGTAGAACGGGAGATGAAGTACTCAAGGGCATCGGACTGGTGAACGAAGAAGTTTCGCTGGTGAATTGAGTGGAATAAGGTGGTTCAGAAGGGTATGGCGACAGAGTTTGGGTTGGGCTTTGCGGCTCATCGCGAAAGAAGGGCGGTGGTGAGCTTGACGATTCATCGGAGGATTCGAATGGATTTTCCGATGTTGCTTGCTGGTCAATTTGCGGAGCGGGTGATAGTGTCTGAATGCTATCGGTGCTATTGTCACTATCACTCATGACGGGTGACACAACGAACGACGCATTCGTACACGAATCCGTACAGATACTCTCACACATCGGTCCACAATTCTCACCAGTGCATTGCGCCTCGCAAACATTCTGAC